ACGGCACTTAACAACAACAACAAAGGAATCCTGAAGTGGTGCTGTGGGATAAGCACTGGGCTGTTAACTGCAAGGTTAGTTCCACCAGCCACTCCTCTGAAACCCTATACAGGTTTGTTATGAGTCAGAACTGACTCCATAGCACTTAACAACAACAATGAACACATGGATGTTTAGGGTTAGAAGAAGAAGAAAAGCATTTGTAGTTGGTATCAGTGAAGACTCGATGTTAAGTGCCGTCGAGTCGGTTCCGATCCACAGCGACCCTGTACAGAGTTTCCGAGGAGCGGCTGGTGAGCTTTAAGCACCGACCTTGTGGTTCAAACTGACTTTGAAGTCCAGCGCATTAACCCAGAGCGCCACACCAGGAGTCCTTTTTATAAAGTTCAAATGGTAGCTCAAAGGAGTCCTGGTGTGGCACTCTGCGTTAATGCACTGGACTGCAAGGTTCGTTTGAACTGCAAGGTTGGTGGTTCAGACTTATTAGTCACTCCCTGGAAACCCTATACAGGGTGGCTATGGGTCGGAACCGACTTGACAGACACTTAACAACAATCAGAGAATACATTGAGAGCTGATGTCAGAAGCACACATCATAGTACAGGCCTGATCTCTTCAGGCATTTTGCATTTGCAGTCATTAGTTATAGTCTAACATTGCTTTAAAGGTAGTTTCCCTCTCATACTTCTAAAACTAGATCATAAAAAGAAGGTATTTATAAGAGCCAATACTAGTTCATTTTGAAATTAATAATAATAAAAAAGCGCCAAATCTAGCACAGAAATAAAATGCTATCTGAAGATCTCAAATGTTTTTCTTTTATAGAGTAGTAATGCTTACCTTAAGATCAAGGCTGCTAAGGCTTACCACATCATCATCTTTCTCTCTTCGTTTTCTTTTCTATAAGAAAAAAAAAAAAAAAGTTTGATCCTTATTTAGAAAGAATGCATTTATCCCACTAAACAGACAACATGTGTAGCACTGTAAGATTATGCATTAAACTGCAAGGAACAGCTGACTTCAAGGTCAGCTGTTCAAACTCACCAGCCACTCCACAGAAACCCTATATAGGATCACTGTGAGTCGAAACCAACTGGACAGACAGTACTTAACAACAGACAACATACAAATAGAAAATCTTTTTTAAAAATCGAAGCCTTGGTTATATTCACAAGAAAATTATTCTGATAAGGGAAGCTCATAAATTATCTCTGGCTATAAATAGTGCCCCTTGACTAAACCATCTCCTGCTATGAAGTAGTTTTACCTTATTTAAAAACTTCTGTAATATTTTCTAAAACAGAACCTTTATGTAAATCAAGGGCTGTCTGTTTATACTTATTAGAGGAAAAAAGTAAAGTACATTTTTATTTTTAAGAAAGAAACACAAATTCTTTATCCTGTGACAATGTGAAGTCTTGTCTAGAAAAGAAATGCCATTTCCTCACGACCCACAGGAATTACCTGAAGCTGGATTCATTAACTGGAAGATGAACACTCATGTTCCTGGGATATTTCCCAGTATCAACTGATTACCAGCATTCAGCACTACTAGTGACAGACGTGGTAAAATGACATGCTTACCTGTGACTCATAATCTGATACAATTTGATGAACTTGACCTACACCTATGGATGCAGTAGCTCAAAAGAGGGAACAAATCCTTAGAGCAAGGATCATTCCCACCCCCTCCATACACAGAATAGACAGAGATGGGCAACTTGGACATTGTCTACCCAAAATGGGGGGCTACAAAGGCAAGAAGTGACTGGCTTACAAGCTTTCAAGAGGGAAGCTAAATTCATAGGGCATGGAGGAAGGTAGAGTCTCCACTGAGTATTATACAATATGTCTAGGCAGGGCTGACAAAATGAAATCCAGATGGATCTCTTGTGATACAGCAGTGAATAATTATTATCTGGGCTGCTTGTGAGGGTTGGAATTGTAAAGGTAGACGTTTTTTAGCAAGGAAGGGAGTGATTAACTTTTCAGCCTAAGAGCGGAGATCCCTGGGACCATCAAGGGAGAAGAGCGGGGAGCGGGAACCTACCCAGAGAAGCAGTGATGCCTGAGATGGAGGCAGAGACGATGATGTGGAGAGATGGAGCTGTTGGGGACTTTAGGCACAGAGAGGAAGAGGGGCTGTGTGCTGATGACCAGGGGCATGCTTGTAAGTGTAAACCCTTTGGCTGGTTGATGATGCATGGAAGGGATTGTAACCATAGCAATGAAATGATCTACTATAGGATGAATGTAAAA